ATCTTAGGGAGATAGTTACGCGAGTGAGATTTGAACAGCTTGACACAATGGTCAGATATGGGAGATCCCACTCTATACCCTATAAAACAGAGGTCCCAAATCTTTTGGGCACCAGGGACTGGTTCCGTGGAGAAAGGTTTTTTCACAGACTGAAGGGTGCGTGGTTTTGTGTGCTGCCTGCATCCCACGGATGGGGCTTTGCTTGTTTGTACGGACCGACTGCTGGCATCCGCGGCCCGGTACTAGTCCACAGACCGGGGATTGGGGACCCCTGCTATAAAAGAAGACTCTGCATCTGTGGAGCGGCAGAGATCGAGGACCTGGCTTACATCCTATTTGATTGCTGCCTGTATAAGAGGGTGAGAGACAGGTACCTTGGCCTATACACTGAACGAATGACCCATTGGGATCCCCATATCAAAATAACTTAACTTATGTGTGGCCAGAATTTGAAAATCACATTTAATACAGCACAGTACCTGAGCAAAATGGTTCGGTTGAGATTGGCATATATGAGACTGTGTGGGGTAGATTGTAGACGTGATAGTGAAATATAATTTTATCATGTTTTATTTATCTACATATTAAATTACTGTATTTTATTCCTATTCAATTTTAAATTATTTTTATCACATTTTAGTAATAAAGTGTGTTTGGAACTCTGCACCTTGGTATGGCCCATGGGCTAATCAATAAAGCAATTAATTAATTAATTGATGCACTGTAAATTTGGTTCATCCACACTATTGGTTTTTAATGGTCTTTGGGAAAGGATAATGGGTGGAATTTCAAAATGTATTAATCACTGCTAGTTCTGCAATATATAATAGGAACAGTTTAAGGATAGCTACATAGTGCACAGAAATTTTCTTGAGGGTGATACACAATTTATGAGAATCTTGCTATTTGTTTTGCTCATGTAGGGTAAGTAGAAGAAATGTTTAGTCCATTTTGAAGAGGAACCAATTTACAAGTTTGGGCAATGCTTGTGGGATTGCTAAAAACCAAAGCATCCTAAATTAAACTTCTGGCATTTCAATGCGTGGTTGAGAACTTTCTCCTTGTGGATACAATCTGACTTGAAGTTTAAAAACATGGAAGGCAATAATTACAGCTTACTAACTTACTAATTACAGTAAATTAGTAGGTGAAAATAAATTGAAGCCACACAGAATCTTGTGGCAATTATTTATTGGCAAAAAAATTTGGACAACAGTCTCTGGGCTTTTATGAATTGTAATCTGTAAAAGCTTATGCTTATGAAGTTGTATTTAGGATGCTATAAAATTCTTTATTATTATTACTATAAATATGGCTAGGCTCAGGAAACCCCAAAAAAGGCTGTCAAATGCAAAATCATCTCCTTTTCCTTGAATATTCTTTTTTATTTCATTGTTACTTAGGTGCCAACAAACAGGAGTTGATTCCTGATAACTTACAGAGTGTCCTAGCAACTTTATAATTTCATTCTCCTACAAAGTGGTTTGTGTTTTTGTGTGGGCATAGTAGTTGTTAACATCTCAACTAGCTCCCCTAAAGTATAAATTTCATAGATTGTACACTCTCTATAGAGAAACTCAGTAATCTACAATCTATTACTATCTATCTATAGCAATCTGTCACATTTCTGCCTCTCACTGGCAAATAATAAAGAGTTTTCTGGAAAAAAAAGAGGGATCAAGTTGGTCTAAAGGCATGGAGTTTACCCAAAGGTATTCCAAAAATTAAGTTCTAATAAGATTTATATGACAAGTCAACATGGGCCATTCTCTTTCACAAAAAGGTTCCTCTAGATCTGTATTTTTGACCCTGACTACTTTAAGATGGATGGACTTCAACTCTTAGAATTCCATTGACAGCATTCTGGGGATTTGAGGTTCACATGTTTTAAAGTTGCCAAGGTTGGGAACACAGATTTTGGGTGTAATCTTTGAGTGCAACAAGTACAAACCTGACGTCTCCACAAGATTGCAGTATGCCACTCCCAGGAAGCAGTTTGATAGCCAACTTTGAATTGAAATGAAACAACTTGCACCTGATTGGAGCCAATTACAAAATGTTTCTAATTGCTTTGTGGTTAGTGCTGGATGAGGTTGAGCTGACCTTGCATTTAGCTTCTAGCAAGGGGATAGGTATGCTTAGTTGGTATTGTCCTAGCAACTACTCGTTCTTCATTTCTGTCATCATCTCCTGAGCTACAATATTATCATACAATCGTACAATCTACAATCATAAAATGGTAACAAAGAATAGAATGGAATTTTGAAGCTATCGACTCCAATCCCCCAATACTACAAGGAATGCAGAAGGGGAAGATTTTGCCTCTGCTGCATACATTCTTTTCTCCAGGGGCCAGACTGACTCAAATTTTTCCCATAGGATTTGTTTTTCATATCCTCGGATCATTTCCTTCCTTTATTCAGATTTCCAAAGAATATAGAGAGCCAATAATGGTAACCTCTTATTCTTTGTGTCAAATGCTCTGTAGAATAAGAAGTATTTCATATATTCACCACCAAGAACATAATCTTACAAGATAGAACTACTGCCATCACAACTAAATGCTCTGTAAACCCACATCTTACTGACCTGTCAATACTGACTGGAAAGTTGGTCTAACATAACTGGCAGTTGCCAGGCAGCTGCCTTGAAGCTAAAATGTGAGGCAATTTACTTTCTTGGGAGCTAAATAGCCTTTAAGAAACCATTTAAAGGATGCTTGGTGTATGTTTATTTTATCCCGCTATTGTTTCTGGCCCCACTTTTAAAAGAATACCAAATTCTGCCAACCCAGTTTGTCAGAAATTAGGTATATATACACACAATATATAGGAATGTCTGTGGAGATTCTCAGTCATCCAGGTTACAGTTGTCTCAAAGGTGCTTTTTCAAAAGGCAACTGGACTGTTTTTCCCTGAGTTTTTCTCTCAGAGAAAAAAACAGTCGAATTCCCTTTTGAAAAAGTACCTTTGCAATAACCGAGAAAACCTCTATTCTTGCTATGTTTATTTGCCCATGAAAATCCACAAGGTGGCGGCAGAGTTCTTTTTTTGCAAGAGCATTGCTTAGACCAGTTTTTTTCCAACTTTGACAATATTAAGATGTGTGGACTTCAACTCCCAGAATTCCCCAGTGAACATGAGAATGGAATTCTACATATCTTAGTGTTGCCAAGGTTGAGAAACACTGGACTAGATTGTTCAATGATATTTGTGGGATGAGCAGAGAAACAGAAATAAATTTTCCATGGAGAGAGAGAGAGAGAGAGAGTTAAGTTAAAATATTTTAAAAGAGTTGTGTAGCTATTTGCACATAAGACACCCCTCTGGTTTTAAATAAAATTTTCACTGATGTGAACCACTTCTAATGGTTTTATATCCGTGTCTATATACTTTTCATGGCAACAGTATACAAGGAGCTTCATGGATTTTATCTGAAAAATAATAAAATTAATAATAGGTAGATATAGTACAAGTAATCCTTGATGTACAACCATTCATTTAGTGACCATTCAGAGTTACAACAGCAACTCAGTCCAACAATAAAGTGATTTATGACTATTCCTTGTACTAAAACCATCACAGCACCCCTATCGTTACAGGATCAAAATTTGCACACTTGGCAACCAGCATGTACATGTATGTATGCCTGTAGGTAGGCATGTAGCAGTGTCCTTGAGTCACGCAATCACTATTTGCAGTTTTCAAACCAGCTTCCAACAGGCAAAGTGAATGGGAAAATCAGATTTACTTGACGACTACGTGATTCACTTAACAACCCAGTGATTTGCTTAACAATCATGACAAAAATGGTCGTAAAATCAGACTAGACCCATTTAACAAACACTTTGATTAGCGATGGAAATTCTGGTCCTAATTGTCGCCTTAAGTCAAGGAATAAGGGCAGTTCAAATCCCTTTGTTGTAAGTTGTCCTGTTTATTTTTTTTTAAAAATGATTCAACAGCTTAAGAGAGCAAATCACTCATTTTAAGGGAACGCGTTTTTGATTTCCCATTATAATGTTTGGCAAAATGTCTTATAATGTACTTTAAAATAAGTTAGAGTTGCATAATCTTGTGGCCAAACCCTTGTTCACTTAATGTGACCAAATCACTTTGAAGATACAATATACAGTAATTTTACTAGGCCTGCAAGCAATATAGTATAAACTAGCTTCCAGCAAAGCATCATCAGCTTGCCAGGCAGACATGATCAAAAGCAGAAGATTGCTCAATGCCCCAAAGTGGAAGGATGCCTCGATTCCCACCATGGACGAATGGTTACAAAAGCTGATGGAATTAGCAGAAATTAACTGTGCTGAAAAGAACTTAAGTACTTTTGTTTCTACTTAGAAACCACTTCTGGACTTGTGCCTGAGGTGGGAAAAAATGATATCATGATTTTGGGTTTTACCGATTAGACTGATTTGCTGATACAGAAATGGCTAATGCATACTATAGAAATGTAAAAAGTTGAGATTCGATTTTAACGTCTGAATTTACTGCAACAGAGAGTTGGAAGTCAATGCCTTTTGTTTCTTCCCCTCCCTTTCTTCACCCCTTTTTTGTTTTCCGTTATTCTACTATTGTCCCTTACTATTTGCTTTTGTATTTTCACATCATTTTATGATATAAATAAATAAAACTAATATATATGGGGGGAATCTCATAGGTTTTATAGTGAATGCATCTCATCTGACGAGGGGTACCTTTTATCACTAGAGTAACTTACATCTATTGTCAATCTTTAATTTTCTTGCCTTTAGTGTATTGCAAAATTTGAAATCGGCTTAGTTTCCCCAACATTCAAATCATAGTATAAATAGCACACCGGCTGAAATGGCGCAATATGGTAAATTGCAATCGAGAAAAGCTTGTGATATTCTATAGCTAGGTACATCTTACAGACAATTCAGCTTCTTGAGACCAAAGGGCTTGCCTCATTTTCCCCTTTGCTAATCAAACCATCTCCCTTTGTCTCTCCTCATATTTTGTCATCAGATTTCTGCAACAGCAGCAATCTGCCCGAAGTGGAAATCATCAGCCTTCTGGGGGAACAACTGCCCTTGTATAAACTCCGGGCAGACACAGTATTTGGATATGACCACAAAGATTGGATTCAGACACCCCTGGTCTCATCTGATGCTGCTGATGCCCTCACATTCAAACAGGTCGACGAGACCCTGAAATACTTCTGTAAGTAACGTCTGGGGAGAAGTCAAATCGATCCATGAGTATAACAATAATTCTTAGTTTTTAAATTTCTTTTTGACTCCTTAGAGTAGGGTATATATGCTATTTTGGAAAATTACAGTAACTTTATGAGGTAAGTTGTTATTATAGGTGTGGTGCAAAAGGAGAAGCTGGGTGTCAGCTGTGAGATAGTGATCTGATTGCAGTTGGGTCTAGGAAATTCTGAAAGAACTGAGATGAGGCTTCAGTAAAATAATTCCCACTTCCTAACAGCTATCCTATTATGTTGCTCCTAGTGGTATATGTCTACACCACTGCAGAACTCAACTGCTGGGCTTTTGACTTTGTGGATCACATGGTATATCTTTCTTACTCATGAAAATTTAAGCATTTTTACAGTACTCAGAAGGGCTAGCTCCTTGCCAATCCTTTTTTTATTTAATTAAGCTACCTTAAAAAAAAAGTAGTCATTTGTGATAAAGGAACAAGAAATGTTCCCGAGGATTGTTATTTTGAGAATCTGTAAAAAGAACAAAAGAAAGACCTGATTTTTCACAAGGTGAGGTGAGACTGATACCACTGCATTGTATATGTTTCTGTGGAAATAATTCCCACTGGGTTCAGGAGAGTTTAGGAAGTTATCTTAGTTCCTAAATCTTTCTTAGGACTCAGTGTGTCCATTATGCTATTTTTCAAAGCATAGTTATAAATCTCAACCAAGATAATCCAGTTGGACAGACTCATCAACAATGAACTTCCTAAAAGTCAAGTAGCTTTGAAGGTGCTGTGGATTTTTATGGGGCAAATACTGTCGTGAGAACTTATTAACCTCCTTTGTTCGGTTCTGGATTGCCCATCTGCTGAGCCTGCATAAATACACTGAATCATAATCACTAGGTTTGAATTGCACACGAAGCCGCAAAAAACTAATCATTTCTGATGTGGTCAGCAAACCATTACCGCCACCTCTGCCCTGCTGCTTTGTGAACTTTTTACCTGGTTTTGTTTTGATTTTACCCTCTGAGTGCTTGGTACATTTAGGAAGATGCTTTCCAGTGAATTAAACCTTTGAGCTGTTGTTTAGTCCAGAGTGATCTTTGTGTGGAATGAAGAGGTCAGGGCAGTTTCTAATTTGCGTTATTTGAAATTTTCCAGCTTCTTCAGAGATGAGCAATATTATGTTGTGTATTATTTTTACAATGTTTTAAAATCATTTTATATTTTACTAAATATGTTTATGTATGTGTGAATCTATATATATTTCTTTTATCCCTTATATTCTATAATGTATACAGACATACAGTGTGTGTGTGTGTGTGTGTGTGTGTGTGTGTGTGTGTGTGAGAGAGAGAGAGAGAGAGAGAGAGAGAGAGAGAGTGTGTGTAAAATCTCCTTTATCCAATCTATCCTGTAATGACAATACATATGGAAACAGAACCCAGGATTAACCCCCCCACACACACACAAACACACAAAGCATCTGCTCTGCTGTCCTTAAGCCTAGCACTACTGGTCTCTTGTCTCTTCATCCATAAAGAATAGCAGCAAAGCTAACTTTTCTTCCATTCCGTTTTTTCTAAACTCAATTTTAAAACACGGGGAAAATCTGTCTATGTTTCCATCCAGCCTCTTAGGTGTTTTTAAAGTTTTAATTTCATTTGCCAATTTTAAAGCAATTCCACATAAAATCTTCTACATTTCTTTCTCCTGAGGACTGAATGCTACTATGCTTTTTTCCATCAACTCTCATTCTTCCCCATCTTCCCCACCATAACTGAGGAACGGGGGCTGTGAAGGGGGAACTGTAGGAAGAGGGTGAGGAGAGACTGGAAGTCCCCACCACAACAATCATTAAAACAACAACAATAAAAGTAGCAGTATGTTTTAGCTTTCAAATTGGCCTGTGGGCCTTCTCATTAGGGGGCCGAAGTATTTGAGCTTTCAGCTTCAGTATCTCTCCTTCCAAAGAACAGTCAGAGTCGATTTCATAAGATTGACTGATTTAATCTTGCAGTCCAAGGGATTCCCAAAAGTCTTCTCCAGCACTACATTTTAAAAGCAATGGAACTCCTTATAGGTATATGTTTTTAATTCTTTGTCCTCAGTCAGAGCAGCCGTTGTGGACTATTTAAATCTATTAATTGCCCAATGGACTATCCGCAGCGAAGGGGCAAATGCAGCTAAATTATTTTCACTCCATATCAGACAAATGGGCTTTTCCTCATAGTATGTATGCAGTTGTGAACCCTTGCCATGACAATCAAATGCCAACCTTACCAACTATCTGGTCTTCAACCGATATCCCTAGTTCTTCTCTTTTCTCTTACCCTCTATGAATTAAGCTCATTTTAACAGATCAATTTAGGAGATTTGTAGACTTCTGTAGAATATACTTGTATCTGCACACCAGGGCTTTCTTGCAGCCCTATTTATGCCCTTTTCTGTATTTCCTCACGGGAAGACCTGAAAGGCCAAGTTGAGGACAGATTATCAAGGAGAATATCTACATGATCACTAAGAGTTGACAGTGATTTGATGGTACATAGTCAGTCTGTGTTTCCTACTTCTATAAGAAACTCTTTAAGGAACAGTCCTTTCTTAAGGACTATTTTACAAGCAGATCCCTTGTTCTCAAATGTCAAACTTTTGAATTAGAAAGAGAGAGCCATACCATATCAATCTGTTGCTTTGGGAAGGATGATTTGATTCCCAATGAATTTTTTAAAATGCATATGCTCTATTCCACTCTAGATAGCAAGTAAATATGTTTAATTAAAGATTGATTTTGCACCATCAAGTTGCATCACCCATTTGCAGGAGTGCCCCATTAGAAGCATATCAGCAGATAAAGTTATTAATGATTTTATCATGGATTTTTGACATAGGAATGCCTGAAGCATATAATTGACATAAAGATTAAAAAGCATTGGGGCTAGGATACAACCCTATGACAGTGAATGTTGGTTCTACGAGCTTATAAATTGATTTCCAAATGTTTCATTACCAGGCTAGGTAACATCTTCATCTCCACTGAAGATGTTACCTAGCCTGGTAATGAAATGTTCGGAAACCAACCCACAAACTTGGAAAATGAACCTTCACCCTCATCCTACACCCGAGCTACAGATAGTCACCACTATTGCAAATATAATGGTATCTAATACCATTGTGGGTAATTATATTCTTGGAGAACCATTTACACTTGTACAGATTTTCAAATGGGTGTTTGAATAGAGGGTTAGGCCTTATCCAAAAATAAGAGTCTGGGTTCCATATTTAAGGTGGCCAATTTCTCCCACAAAAAGTTTAAAGAGTGCACTGAAATCTATAAAAGTGGTAAACAGTTTCTTGCCATTAGTTAATTGTTTTGTTATGAGATGGTATAAAATAAAAAAATTGTCTATTGTGGAATGCTCTGGTCTAAATGTCTATGGAGATTCTTAGTCATTCAGTTCATGGTTGTCCCAAAGATGCTTTTTCTCCAAACAGCACTGTCTTTCTTGATTTGCCTTGAAGATATTTCATTTCTCAACTAAAAAGCTTCTTCATTTTTAACTAATTGATGGGAAATAGGATTTATAAGCTTCTCAGCCAGCCAGCCAGCCATTAACACTCTGAGGATCTTGAAACCACCTGGGGGCTAATCTGTGTCCTCAGAGTCACCTGAATCAGAGTGCAAATGAGTGTGGAACCATTTTGAGATTGCTGAAAGGACTGCATTGTAAACAGAAGATTTTTGTTGTTATTAGTTGCGAAGTTGTGTCCAACCCATTGCGACCCCATGGACAACGTTCCTCCAGGCCTTCCTGTCCTCTACCATCTTCTGGAGTCCATTTAAGCTCACGCCTACTTTCTTCAGTGACTCCATCCAGCCACCTCATTCTCTGTCGTCCCCTTCTTCTATTGCCCTCAATCTTTCGTTGAGAGAGGACTGTTCGGTTTTAACATAGATAACCTATTTGATTCCTCTTTCAAACCAATGATCCTCTCTGTCCAGAATGTGAGCCTTGTTATCTTTAAAATAACACGACCCTTGTCTTTCAGATGTAGATGGAACTGCTGAATTCTGTCCTGATGCTTTGGTTCTCCTGTGTTGTGCCATACATTTGTGGAATGGTTCTTTTGTTTCCCCAATGTACAAATCTGCACCCGCCTTGCTGCATGTACCACATTATTCTGTTTGTGCCTGGGTGTTTTGTCGTTGAGATGAACAAGCTTGTCTTAATGTGTTCCTAGATTAAAGTATACACTTATATTTTGTTTGTTGAAAATCCTGGTGTGCTTTTCCAATATTCCAGTCTAAATGCAGCTTGTTCTTTTGCTAACAGATTTCTTTCCACTACCCAGTTTTCTATTTTGTTCAAAAGATGTTTTGCATACATTTTAGCCATAATTCCAGGCTATCAGTTTTTTGTAATCACATCTTATTTTTAAAATTTTAGTGTGGGTTTTTTTAATGTTAAGATCCTGAGTCTGGCATATTGCTGCCAGCAGTAACTTTCTGATACAGTATGTAAACAGAATCAAACCAATTTGAATTTACTTGCTGTTAGTTTCTGGTTTGATATTTGTGTTTTTCACTGAAAACTTTTAAATCATAAATCAGTGCAATGGGTCGGGATTTTATCTGCACCTTGGATAGAGGAGGAAATTGAGTTTCTCCGAGTTTGGGCCTGTTCTGAATTCAGCAAGATGGATATAACCTTAGCATCAACCTTAGCCTAACTGAGCTTTCTATTCCACCTTACTTTAAGATTAGCTAGTCGCCTCTAGTGAAGCATAACTAGATCAGATCTGCCTTAGAAATGGACTGTTTGGTCATCATTGCTACCCTCCCTCATGTGAGCTTGGATGTCAGAACAAACCCAGTCTTGTTTTATGCAACATACATGTAATCTAAAACACTGCTATAGTTTCCTGAATAATATTTAAAAGGATACATAAAATTAGGTGCTTTACCTTCTAAGTATGGAAGATTACACTTATAAATTAAGGAAACAAGT